CAGTTGTGTACCACTTTGTAGTTTCTGAACTCCTGATGAAAGAAGATCCCTATTTTTGGCTTCTATTTCTAATTATATTAGCATGAGATGATTCCTTACATTCTCAGGCACAAATAAGAACACACATTCAATGCTATGAAAATATTTATGATATAACTAAGCATCTAACCCTGTCCAGAAGGGGGAGCCAGCAGGGGCCAGCTCCAGCCTCCAGTCACCTCCCATTTCCTGCAGCTTGTCGGGGGGATAGTAAGATGCTGAGGGCTGGCCCTGGCTGCCAGCAGCCCCCACCACCCATATCTTACAGGATCTCTGTGTGGCCGGAAGGGGAAGGCAGACTCTGGAGGCTGCTCATGACCTGCAAGCTGTCTACAGACAGTACAGGCTCTGGGGGCTAGTCCCAGCCTCCAGTGTGTCGTCCCCCCCCCCCCCCATTGCCTGCAGACTCTCTGCATGGAGAGGGGCAGATTCTGGGGGCTGCACCAGCCTTCAAAGGCTCCGGTTCTAGCAGTCCGTCCAGGGGAAGAGGTTCTGAGGGCTAGCCACAGACTCCAATTCCTCCCTCCCTCCTGGGGCCTGTTGGGGGAGGGGGGACAAGCCATAGCCTCCAGCACCCTCCCCCACATTCCCTACAACCTGGCTAGATGAGACCTCCAGCATCCTACCCATGGCCTTCAGGCTGTGCGCAGGCAGGATAGGCAGTCCAGGCTTCCTATGGCCTCATATAATCAGTAAAGTGAAGTTATCCCTTGAGAATCCTAATAATCCAACATCTGAACTCTGGGGGCCAGTCCAGGCTTCATATGGCCCCATGTCCTGCAGTCTATCCAGGAGGAGGGCAGAAGAGGGACAACTGAAGCCAAGGGCCTGGAGGAGGAGCAAGTGTTTGGGGGCGGGGGCAGGGGAAGCTATTTCTGGTGTGCTGGCAGGCAAGATGGCAGAGTCCCAATCCCACTGGGCCACTCCCTTGGTGGTATGACTTGTGGTCTCACTGCCCTCAGTGGCCACTCTCATATTGCATCCCTCGAACCAGCTCCTCCCTTTGCATGTTATGGAAAACTGTCCTTTCCCCAAAGCTTCCTGTTCTTCTGGGAGAACCAAACCTGACCTTGCTTGACGTTAGGACAAAAGGAAGCTGCATACCAAATTGGGTGGCCCTACCTCTAACTGTTTAGGAGTTTCTGAACAAATGGACTCGTAGTCATAGACAGACACACACACTCTAGGTAGGCTTACCTGATCTATATAATCTAATCTATTTTGGATCATAAATAGATGTGTTGAACTGAAGAAAATATTTATATTCCTACAGTCTCAGAACTGTTGAGAGAACAGAATTAATTTGGTTTGAAACTTTGGCTTCTAAAATAAATGCCGTTGAAAGTGGCTAATTTTGTTTTAATTGGACAAGTAACTCTGCAGGTTGGCACACTCAGAAGTTGGGAGGAGGAACCTGTAATTCAAAAACAAATTAAAAAAACGGTTCCTCCCAACCTAGAAGAAACTATCAAATTTAAAATGCTTTGCATTCTCTTTAATGTGTTTGTTTCATTTTGTAAACATAATTAAGACAACAGAAGAAGTTTGCTTGAAAAACCACAAAACAGACTTTTCCCTTGTGAAACTGTCTCCCCCATTCCCCATAGTCTGTGCCATGTCCCAAGGGCCTCAGATTAATTTAAAACACGTAAGAAATGTGCTAGAGGCCACACACCTGTATAGCTTGGCACTGAGGCAACATTCCTTCTCACTCAGTTCTTAGTAGCTTGACTACTAACTTACCCCTCAAATACACAGCTGACTTTTTCAAACATTCTTCTGACACCTGAAGAAAGTTCTTTTTTAGACTATGTCATCTTCTCAGGAACAAGAAAGGGAAAATTCAGTACCGTATATTCCGGCGTACAAGACGACCTCTGATGTTAAAAAACATCCCCCAAAAATCGGGGGTCGTCTTGTACGCCGGGTATACATCCCAGGCGCGCCTGGGATGTCCCGCCGCCGGAGTCCCTCCGCCGGCTTCCCCCGAGGCTTTCAAAACTGCTGCGGCTTTGCTCCCGGTGCCTCTGGTCTGCTGGGGACCATCTCCAGCAGACCAGGGACACCGGGAGCAAAGGAGGCGGAGGGGCGCTGGGGTATAAGATGAAACCCTATCTTTTAATTAAAAAAATAGGGGGTCGTCTTATACGCCCAGTCGGCCTATACGCCGGAAAATACGGTACCTAATCACAGGAACAAAAGATTCCAAAACCAACAGCCAGTTGCAAAAGGACACATTAGGGCTGCAGATGCTTGGCCTTGGTAAATATAAAGAGCCTGCCAACAGAAAAGTTTGCTGGAGTAAAGGTTCCTATTGGAGAACAGTTCTGCAATATGTATTCATCTGAGAGCAGCCAGTGCCACATCCGTCAGAGGGAATTACCAGAACAGGGAAGTTGTCAAGTACCAGCTTCTCATGGTCAGTTGTTTAGGAACACCCAGACTATGGGTTGGACCTATTCTCCATGAACTTGTCTAATTATTTTACGAACCCAGTTATAGTCCTGACCTTTACAACATTGCCAGGCAATGACTTCCACAGGTTGACTGAGTGTTGTATGAAGAAACACTTTCCTTTATTTTTAAACTAAAGCCTATTAGTTTCATTGAAGTGACCCCTAATTCTTGTGTTTGTGTTAAGGTAAACAGCACTTCCTTATTCACTATCTCCACATCATTCATTATTTTAGAGACCTCTACTTTGTATTTTTTTAAACCGACATTGTTAGGTAAGTTCACCCCTATGTTCTTCCCATATAAACTTCTCTAAAGCTTTCAGCTGCTATAATACAGGTAGTCCCTGAGTTACGAATGCATCGATTTACAACCGTTTGTCCTTATGACCAACCTCCCATTAAGTGCGTGTCCCCCAGTTACGAACACACTATCCAAGCTTATGAACAGCGCGGTCACATGTAAATGAATGGGTCCGACTTACGAATGAGTTATGTTCCGAGCACTTGGTTGTAACTTGATCTGTTTGTAAGTCGGGGACTGTCTGTACATGGTCATAAAATGAATGTAGCATTAAATTACCAAAATAATTGAAGCTGGGGTGATTGTATTGTGTTATTTTGACAAATATACAACATTTTCCGTATTTTAAAATATTGTATGCAGAATTTTAATTTTTTATGCAAAATCACTGTAGGAGTAAAAGTTATTGTACTTAAATTGTCCTTCTATCTCAAGTATAATAAAACTTTGCAAATAAATAGCAGATTATTATAGACATTTAGCATTTCTAGACAAATATATTAGAACCAGCTCAAAACTCTAGTTAAACATGTGGATAGGTTTTAGTTCATATTCAAAAATAAATTAGATTAATTTTTCCTGTTATGAATAAGGCATATTTAACAGTTTCACTCAACTTAAAATTCAAAAACCCAAGAGAAATCTTGATTGTTTAGAGCGCTCGGGATCTCACTCTCAGGGTGCATCTAGACAGCGGCGCTATTTTGGGATACTTCCGGTATCCCGAAATAGCTATTCTGTGTCTTTTAAACGAGCCTGTTATTTCAAAATAACTTTCAAAATAACAGGCTCACTATTCCGATGTCCCTATAAACCTCATTCCATGAGGATAAAGGGACATTTTGGAATAGCACTGTATTTCGAAATTTCAAAATACACTCAAAATAAGCTATGTAGTTTGCATAGCTTATTTTGAGCTACTGGTGCAGAGTAGATTCACCCTCAGAGTGCAGAGTCAGCTGTGTGGTTTGAAGAGGCCCGTGGGTGCAAAGGAGGCAGGAAAAGAGCAGTTGCAGCCCAAGGGATTGGCTAAATGGACAGCAATCAAAGGTTATAGTTGCATAGTCACCAGAAGTACAAAAGGTCACCTATTGCTAAGAATAGGAAAATGCGAAACAGCAAAGATGCACAAGATTGAAATTTATGCTACTGCTAGAGGTTAAGGAATCTCTGAACTCTCAAATCCTCCAACTGATCCGTGTCACCCAACAGAACAAATGTATTCCAACTTTAATACTCAGGGTCACTCTTTCAAGTATTGTTTTTGCATAATGCACGTAGTGGGAATGGGATGGGACAATGAACAGCAATTCACATTCTAATTTCGATTACATGTGAAGGGGAGTACAGGCAGTCCCCGGGTTACGTACAAGATAGGGACTGTAGGTTTGTTCTTAAGTTGAATTTGTATGTAAGTCGGAACTGGTACATATTGTAGGGGAAACTCTAGCCAAACATTTCTCCAGAGCTCAGTTTTATTCTCCCACACCTCACTTCCCTCAGTCCTTTATTCTCAAGCTGAGGTGTCTGCTGAGAAAAGCCGCTCCACGTCTCCCTGGTCGGCTGGGAGGGGTGCTAGCTTTGCGTCTCCCTGGTCTGCTGGGGGGAAGCAGCTAGTGCGGGGTTGCCTCACCC